CTTTTGGTTTGGTGGCAGTTAAAAAAAACAAAACAAAACACGGGAAAAAAATTGGTTTAGGTTGAACTGAACCTGATTTGATTTTTTTTTAATTTTTGGTGACTCAATAAAGGGTGTTCTGGCTTTGTTCCAGAGCACGGATTCAAAGCCAGATCACCTGCATCCCACCCCCAGGCTAAAGGTTGGGGGGCTTACAGCAGCACCACAACCTCCACTGTTTTGTGAACGGCCAATATTATTTGTAACAAATTTGCACATACTTTTGGGTCAGCCAAAACTGTATTTTTCATCAAATAAACTGTCCAAAAAATTTTGCCCAGTTCTAGTCCTGACTCCCAGTTAAATCCCGGGTTCTCAACTTTTTTCTTTCTGAGGCCCTGCCAACATGCTATAAAAACTCCATGGCCCACCTGTGCCACAACAACTGTTTTTCTGCATATAAACGCCATGGCCATAGGGGGTAGCAAGCAGGGCAATTGCCTGGGGCCCCACGCCACAGGAGCTCCCGTGAAGCTACAGTGCTTCAGCTTCAGCCCTGGGTGGTGGGGCTCAGGGCCCCTGGCTTCAGTCCCATGCAGTGGCTGTGGGGCTTCAGCTTTCTGCCTTGGGCCCCAGGGAGTCTAATGGTAGCTCTGCTTGGCAGGCCAGACCCTCTGAAACCTGCTTGCAGCCCCCCAGGAGGCCCAAGACCCCTGGTTGAGAACCACTGCGCTAAATCAAATTATCTGGTGGTACATGGCACAGAAATAAAGTCTGGAGATGTTATTCTTACCTCCATTTGATCTTTTCCTTCTTCCTTTGAAGCGTAGGGCTGTGTAACCATCCTCCCCCTCTTCCATCTCTAGCCTCTTTTGCAGTGTGAAACCAAGAGAAACAAACAACCCTTACTGTCACAGCAAAAGCAACCATGGAAAGTTAGTAGGAAGGAAGGAGCAGTGAGAGACTGGTCACTTATGAACTTAAGCCAAAGTAAACCACACAGGATGCTTGTATTTGAGTTCAGAGGACAGCTTAGTGCATGCCTGAAAGGTAGGGCTTGTTTTTATAACAAAAAAGAAAGAACAAAGGATTTTCGTATAATGTGACTATGTGGCATATGTAACAGGAACCCTACAGCTCCTGCTTGAGGTAGGAAAAATGAGGCCACTGTTAGAAGTGGAAACAGACCCTAGGCCTGCCGTTGCCTATGCCTGCCCCTTAAGCACAAAACCATCCTTCTTGGAAAGTGTCTGATAGGTGAACCATTAAAGACAAGAAGTTCTAAAGCTGGGTCGAGTGTGAGGGAGAAGGCTCCTTTCAGCAAGGAGCTTAAGAACAGGTTGAGGCTGCAGTGCTATAGACTTTATGGTAGTTCTCCCCCTGGGGAGAATTTCAGTCCCATGCGAAGAGGGGGTTAGCTCGCAAGCTCCTGGGCGCGATCTTTCTCACGAGCGCCCTGGGGCATTGTTTGCCTAGAGTCAGAGCTGGGCTGTCATGCGGCGCGATGCAGGTGCGGTTGCTGAGCGTTCTGTGTGCGGGGTGCTCTGGGGGCAGTACAGCAGGAAGGTGCTGCGTGGGATGCGTGGCCGGCTGTGAGCTGGCGAGTCTGCAGAACACATACCACCGACATAACTAATGTGTGAAAGCCAGCATGCGGGGTTGGTCAGCTGCCTTGCATTTTGATTTGACCTGTTTGAGTCAGTGGTTTCTTTGCTTCACATGTCAGAGGGGTAGTTGTGTTAGTCTGTATCCACAAGACTGCATCTGCATCAGTGGGTTTTTTACCCATGAAAGCTTATGCCCAAATAAATCTGTTAGTCTTCAAGGTACCACCGGACTCCTCATTGTTTTTGCTTCAAATGAGCCTCCGCTTCCAAATCCAACCACTGTGAACTCCCATGCACACGTTCAGAGGTTGGCTGCTGCCTGACCAACTTCCTTTGTGTGCGTGCGGGCTTCAGATATTTAAGTACAGCCTTAAGATAGGTGAGTTTTGATTCCATAGTGCTGAATGTGCAGGGTGGATCGGTGTAATTTGGGGGAGGGGGAGAGGGAGTGGCTGCAAAGGGTGCAGTAGCATCTATACTGGTAGAATCAAGTTAGCCTGTGTGACATGTGGGCTCAGCCACAGGCAGATCTGCCCTGCACTTGTTTGGTAGGTGTTTTCATTGCTGCTGTGAAGCCAACAAGCTTCTTCTGTGCTCCTGTTGGACCCAAGCAGAGAGTGAGTCCTGAAGCAGAGCACTGCACTGACCAGCAGGATACAAGCCGTGCTTTTCCTCTGTGACATGTGCGGAGAGAGGTTCAGAATGGGAGCCTTCTGGTCCCACCCTAAATAACCCCCCCCCTTCTTTACTGTTCACATCTCTCAAATCCTGCAAACAGGCACTTTTTTAATTTGAAGAAGGTGCCTAGGCCTGTGGTGTTAGTTGGGTGTAGGGCTGCCAACGTTCTGATTGCAGAAAACCGAACACCCTTGTGCTTGCCTTGGTCTGGGAACCACGGCCAATGGGAGCTGCGGGGATAGCGCCTGCGGGCGAGGGCGGTGCACAGAACTTTCCTGGCTGCCCCTGTGCCTAAGAGCTGGAGAGATATGCTGGTTGCTTCTGGGAGCCACGGAGCCAGGGCAGGCAGGGAGCCTGCCTTAGCCCCACTGTGCCGCTGACTGGACCTTTAGTGGCCCAGTCAGCAGTGCTGACCGGGGCCACGAATGTCCCTTTTCAAAAGGGCGTTTTGGTCGAAAACCGGACGCCTGGCAACCCTAGTTGGATGCTTAACTTTAAGCAAGTGCTTGTCCACAGGATCAGGACCTGGTCACTTAGGGCATGGCACTACTCCAGCGCTTAAAATTAACCATATACTTAAGTGACTTGCTGGATTGGGGTCAGAGTGCTCAGCACTTTGTAGAGGATCAAGCCCTTAGCCAGGCTAGACAGACGGATTTCCATTTAGGCACAGGAGACATGTGCCTAGGGGCGCCGGCGTTCTAGGGGTGCCTAAAAGTTAAAAGTGGGTAAAAAGTTAATACAGTGAGAACCTCGGAGTTACAGATACCTCAGGAATGGAGGTTGTCCGTAACTCTGAAATGTTCCGTAACTTTGAAGAAGAGGTTATGGACTTCAGCCACATTGGAGGGGTTGGGAGGCTGCAGCTGCAGGGGGAGAGGAGGGGGTCAGGGCTCCAGGCCGTGGGGGGGGGCGGGAACAGAGTTGGGGCTTCTGACTCTTGGGCACCCGGGCTCAGGGCAGGGGGCTCCTGCCCTGTGGGAGCACCGGGGCTCAGCACTTTAGATGTGAAGGGAGCGCTAGCACCGCAGCTCCACTCCCAGTTTCAGCCTTGTGGGGATTGCTAGGGCTCAGGGCTTCCCATGGTCCACTCCCTACTTCGGGGGGGCGGGGGGGGAGGACCAGGGCTCTGGGCTTTAGCTACAGGGGGAGGTGCTGGGGCTGAAACTGTCACTCCCCCCGTAGCTAAAGCCCCAAGCCCTGGTCTCCCCCCCTCGGGGCTAAAGTCAGGAACAGAGCTGTGGGGCTGAACCCCAAGCCCCAGCACCCCCTGTGGGAGTGAAACCGGAAGTGGAGTCATGGGCTGAAGCCCCGAGCCCCAGCACTCCCCCCCTCTAAAGCCTTGGTGCTCCCGAGGGTCAGAAGTCTGGAGCCCTGACCACCCCCCCTGCCACCCTGCAGCTGAAGCCTTGAGCCCCAAGGCAGTACAGTACAGTGCTGTCCCCACAGCTCCCATTGGCCAGGGCCTAGGTCTGTGCGCCCCAAAGCTGCAGACTTAATTGAAAGCAGCTTACAGAAGTGTTCCTGTCTTTAACACTCAGATGCCCAACTCCCAATGGGGTCTAAACACTAAATAAACCCGTTTTACCCTGTATAAAGCTTATATAGGGTAAACTCATAAATTGTTCACCCTTTATAACACCGATAGAGAGATATGCAGAGCTGTTTTTCCCCCCAGGTATTATTAATTAACCCAGAGTATGTATTAAGTAAGAAGTGATTTTATTAAATACAGAAAGTAGGATTTAAGTGGTTCCAAGTAATGGCAGACAGAACAAAGTGAATTACCAAGTAAAATAAAATAAAACACGCAAGTCTATGTCTAAGAAAACTGAATACAGATAAAACCTCATCCTTAGAGGAATTCCAGTAAGCTTCCTTTTACAGACCAGCCTCCTTCTAGTCTGGGTCCAGCAATCAATCACACTCCCTGTAATTACTGTCCTTTGTTCCAGTTTCTTTCAGGTATCCTTGGGGGTAGAGAGCACTGCACTGACCGGCAGGGTACAAGCCGTGCTCTTCCTCTGTGACATGTACCAGCAAGAGCCAGTATACCACCAACCGTACCGGCAGGGGGCAGCTTCCCCACGCCAGTGATTTAAAGGGCTTGGGGCTCCTGGCAGTGGATAGAGCCCCACTGCTGGAGCCCCGGGGTAGCGGTGGCAGCTGGGAGCCCTGGGGCTCCGGCGGTGATTTAAAGGGCTCGGGGCTCCCAGCCACCACTACCGTAGAGGAGCCCCTGGCCCTTTAAATCGCTGTCAGAGCCCTAGGGCTCCCAGCCACTGCCACTACTCCGGGGCTCTGGTGACAATTTAAAGGGCCCAGGCTGCCACTACCCCAGCAGAGAGGACCCTTTAGATCACTGCCAGAGCCCCAGGGTTCCCAGCTGCGTCACACATGCCCTCCAAGAAAGCATGAATAGGATCAGAAAAATTGCAGAAGATATTTGTGTTAATTTCTCAGTTATGATAATACATATACAGAGAGCAAGAGACACAAGACATAGACAGACAAAAAATATATATACAAAGACATTGTATAGCTGAGTTTTATATACAACTACTTGTTGGTAAATATTAATCTTTTTAGTCCTCTTTTTCTTGTATATTAATTCATTTCCATATTAACTATTCCCCCAGAATCTTTTATATTAGAATTCAAAGATACTCTGGGACTTAGCAAAGACTATTGGTGCTTAGCCCGTGAATGACTTGTGTTCAGGAATTTCTAGGGACTGAGTATTGGGCTGTACCTCATTATTGCTGGTGTCTCCAAGCTTGTGGGAATCTAAGGGTATGTCTACACTACGAGAGTAGTTTGATTTTACTTAAATCGAATATGTGGAATCGATATTACAAAGTCGAACATGTGTATCCACACTAAGAACAGTAATTCGACTGTGTGAGTCCACACTAACGGGGCAAGCGTCGACATTGGAAGCGGTGCACTGTGGGCAGTTATCCCACAGTTCCCACAGTCCCCGCTGCCCATTGGAATTCTGGGTCGAGACCCCAATGCCTGCTGGGGAAAAAAATGTGTTGAGGGTGGTTTTGGGTAACTGTCGTCATCCAACCATCACTCCTGCCCTCCCTCCCTGAAAGCGCCAGCGGGCAATCAGTTCGTGCACTTTTCTGGTGAGTGACAGCACGGACGCCACAGCACTGCGAGCATGGAGCCCGCTGTGACCATTGCTGCAGTTATGGCCGTTGTCAACACCTCGCACCTTATCATCCACCTTTTCCAGAGGCAGATGCTGAGAAATCGGGCGAGGAGGCTATGGCACCGCGGTGAGGACATGAAGTCTGAGAGTGGCACAGACCTGTCACAAAGCACGGGCCCCTGCGCCGTGGACACCATGGTGGCAGTGGGTCATGTTGATGCTGTGGAATGGTGATTCTGGGCCCGGGAAACAAGCACGGACTGGTGGGACCGCATAGTGCTGCAGGTCTGGGATGTATCACAGTGGCTGCGAAACTTTTGCATGCGGAAGGGAACTTTCATGGAACTTTGTGAGTTGCTGTCCCCTGCCCTGAAGCGCAAGGACACCCGGATGCGAGCAGCCCTGACTGTCCAGAAGCGAGTGGCCATAGCCCTCTGGAAGCTTGCAACGCCAGACA